AGTTTAGAGCCCCCGTCAGAGGCCGAGGTCCGAAACGCGATCACAGCCCTCAATCGTTTTCGTGCCGCAGGCCCGGATTCCCTACCACCTGCACTATTTAAGGATGGAGGTGAGGTCCTCTGCAAAGCACTGACCTCCCTATTCGAACGTATCTGGAACGAAGAGAGTGTGCCGGCTAATTGGAGCGAATCGATTATAGTGGCAAAATACAAAAAGGGCAGTCGCACAGACTGTGCGAACCACAGGGGTATTAGCCTAACGCCAGTTGTGACAAAATTACTGGCCTCGATTATCGTTCGTCGCCTCACTGCAGAACGGGAATCTCGGATTAGAGAAGAGCAGGCCGGTTTTCGCCCAGGACGTGGCTGTATAGACCATATATTTACTTCGCGGCAGGTGCTAGAGCAGCGCCACGCATACCGAAGACCGACAATAGCTGTGTTCCTCGATTTCAAGAGTGCGTTCGATTCAGTCGATCGATCGATTCGGTTCGAAATACTTGCGCGGAGAGGTGTTCCCACGAAATATGTGAACATCCTTCGTGCTTTATACTCGAACACTAGAGGCCGCGTCAGGGTCTATGGTGCCCTATCGGATAGCTTTTCGACTACAAGTGGCGTTCGACAGGGTTGCCCGATTTCCCCGTTTTTGTTCAATTTCGTCGTGGATTCTATCATGGAGTGTTCCCTTGCGGAATCTCACGATGTAGGTGTTGAAGTGCTGCCTGGTGAACGGTTAGTTGATCTAGATTATGCGGACGATATCGTCTTGCTTTTCGACAATGTTGAGGCGGCACAATCAACCCTGAATAGCCTATCCAGAGTGGTCCCATTATTTGGTTTGCACTTCGCACCTTCAAAGTGCAAAGTGTTGCTGCAGGACCACCAGCCACTCGATGACCCCTTGACGCTTGCTAACGAGGAACTCGAGGTGGTTGATCAATTCACTTATCTAGGCAGCTGCATCAGCAATGATGGGCGCATAGAAACTGACGTGAGCTCACGCATTGCAAAGGCCAGAGCTGCCTTCTTGAACCTGCGTCATCTTTGGCGATAGAAGGGAGTTTCCCTCCGTCTGAAAGGCCGTGTATACAAGGCCACAGTGAGGGCCGTTCTGCTGTATGGTAGTGAAACTTGGCCCCTTCGGTCTGAAGATCTGAGGCGCCTTCAAGTCTTTGATCATCGTTGTTTGCGAAGCATTGCTGGTGTCGGATGGCACCAGCGTGTCCGCAACGATGATGTGCGTAGGCGAGTACTAGGTGGTGATGATCATGCTAGCTCCGTAGAACAACAGATAGCACTGAATAAGTTACGTTGGCTCGGGCACGTGCTACGCATGCCTGGTCACCGCTTACCTAGGAGGGCCTTGTTCAGTCTACCAGGTGTAGGATGGCGCAAGGCTCGAGGTGGACAGAAGTTGACTTGGCAGCGGGAAATGAAGTCACTGACGACCAAACTGGGTGCAGTTGGTCCGTCTCGCCTTCCGGGTTGGAGTCCACGTGACTCACCTTGTGCTTGGCTCGAGACTTTACAGGACATGGCTCGCAACCGACACCAGTGGCGCGTCTGCTGCCGTCTCCTAATCGGATTGTCTGTTTAAAGTGTGTTTGGTGCTGAGTTATCTGTGGGGTAATGGCTGATTATGACGCGTGGCAGTGAAAGCCGCAAGGAAGCTGTCTCGCTGATGCCGCCTTATCTTTGCACGATAGCCAGCTGTTTGTGACGGAATGTTGTTAACACAAGGTGTAGGCGCCTTGACCCTGAATGTTTGCTTAGGGCATTAAGGTTTTCAGGTAAGTCCCCCTTCTCTCCCTCTTCTTATTCTTTATTTCATAGTTCCTCATGGTTGTATGGCAGCGAAGCATCAGTTCAAATGGCTGATGTACTGCTGTTGATGATGATGATGATACATCGTGAGATTCCGCAAGGGAACACTCCATGATAGAATCCACGACGAAATTGAACAAAAACGGGGAAATCGGGCAACCCTGTCGAACGCCACTTGTAGTCGAAAAGCTATCCGATAGGGCACCATAGACCCTGACGCGGCCTCTAGTGTTCGAGTATAAAGCACGAAGGATGTTCACATATTTCGTGGGAACACCTTTCCGCGCAAGTATTTCGAACAGAAACGATCGATCGACTGAATCGAACGCACTCTTGAAATCGAGGAACACAGCTATTGTCGGTCTGCGGTATGCGTGGCGCTGCTCTAGCACCTGCCGCGAAGTAAATATATGGTCTATACAGCCACGTCCTGGGCGAAAACCGGCCTGCTCTTCTCTAATCCGAGATTCCCGTTCTGCAGTGAGGCGACGAACGATAATCGAGGCCAGTAATTTTGTCATAACTGGTGTTAGGCTAATACCCCTGTGGTTCGCACAGTCTGTGCGACTGCCCTTTTTGTATTTTGCCACTATAATCGATTCGCTCCAATTAGCCGGCACACTCTCTTCGTTCCAGATACGTTCGAATAGGGAGGTCAGTGCTTTGCAGAGGACCTCACCTCCATCCTTAAATAGTGCAGGTGGTAGGGAATCCGGGCCAGCGGCACGAAAACGATTGAGGGCTGTGATCGCGTTTCGGACCTCGGCCTCCGACGGAGGCTCTAAACTAACCGTCCATGGCTCGTCCTGCATCACCTGAGTAGGAAGAGGTCCGGGAGCAGGGGGCCAGCTGAACTGATGTTCAAAGTGCTCAGCCCAACGAGCCATACGGCGCTCCGTATTGTGTATCAGCGCACCCGCGCTGTCCCTGATTGTCTCACTGACGCCTGGTTTCCTCGGACCAGTGGTGCGTATTAGCTGGAAGAGCTTGCGGTAATTGCCTACTGCTCCTGCCTCCTCCATTTCTTGAGCCCGACTGGTCCACCAGGCTTCCTTGTCAGCACGTAGGCTCCGCTTTAGTTCACGCCCAATAGCTCGTCTGGTCACATTGTGTTCAGAACCAGCCGGGAGGTGCCTTCTAGCTTCCAAAAGGTTCACGGACCTCTCGGATATCCAGTGACTGGTGCGATGACGACTGATAGTGCCACAAGCAGATGCTCCTGCGTCGTGCATAGTGGCCGAGATCCTATTCCACTGAAGTTCAGGATCATTAGGACAAGACAGCGAGAGTTCGCTATGCAGTGCTTCTTGATAGGCTTGCCTGACAGAGGGCTGGGACAATTTCTCCGTTGCCAATCGGGGGAGACGCTTTGTGCGCCTTCCTGTAAAGTTCATGGAGAAACGACAGCGCACCAAGGCATGGTCAGAGTCGACACAGGTACTCCAGTACGAGCGGCAATCCAGAATGGAACCACGCCACCTGTAACTTATGGCTATGTGGTCAATTTGGGTCCATCGCTGACCAGCTACAGGTGGACGCTAAGTGGCACTTCGGCGCCCACTGTGTCCATAGTCTATGTAGAGCTCTTTGTAGGGCCAGTGGACCACTAGGTTCATTCACTATGGACCAGAACGTTAAGACGTCCGCGAAAATTAGAGATACCAATCCCAGTTTGTCGGGTAAGTCATTAACGAAACAGGTGAACAACAGGCCCCAAGAATCGACCCTTGTGGGACACCGCTGTGAACACACATTTGCAGACAGGCAGGAATCCCCACGACGACACATCCACCTTTCTGTTAAAAAAACGAAATCCATTTCAAGATTGGCTCCGAGATACCGTAAGTTTGCAACCTGTACAAAAGGCGAGAACGCGAAACAGTGTCTAAAGCTTTGGAGAACACAAAGAACAATACGTCCAGGGCATTTCCTTGATCAACCGCATCGGCCAAATGTTCGTGAGTAACTAACAGGTTGGTAAGGCAAGATTAGCCATTACGAAAACCGTGTTGGAAGGGACTGAGCAACCCAAACGGCCTTAAATGACTTGCAAAGGCATCCCTCACATGCTATTCCAGGAGCCTGAGGTACACGCTGGTTAGGCTAACAGGTCCATAGTTCTAAGGAAGGTGCTTCTCCCCTATAAAAAGCGGGGCATACAACGGCGTTCCTCCTGTCGTCAGGTAGAGAACAGCTGCACAGTGACTTCCCAAACAGTCGCGTAATTGGACAGCAAAGTTACTCTGCCAGCTCACACAACAGTTTGGGTTGGAGAGCGTACATCCCTGCTGCCTTAGTAGGATACAGCTCTCGTAGAAGTTTGAGCACCTTGGCCTCCGATATGGAAACCTCCAGATAAACGTCTACAGGAACATTCACTATCAAACTAATGCGCAGCAGGCGGGACTCTCGGATAAATACACCCGCATACTGTTCCCCAAGCAAGGAAGCCTTGTCAGGTTCAAGTTCAATTTGGACAGGAACGGTAGGAGAATTCCCATGTGTGTTCCTTCTTCAATGCGTCGTTGAACCAGGATGGAGTTCGCGGGAGCGATTTGGAGCCGAGAGGAGCCAAATCAATACACACGAATCACATAACGGTCAACCAATCAATGCCCACGCGGCCTGCACTAGCAGTCCCCACTGTACCGGCCACGTGAATAAGAATAAAGGTTAAGGGAACCAACAAAAACAAAATAATGGTAATTGTAGTACAGGAGAGAATGTGTGGTTAAGAGAATAATAGTAATAGATGTGAGAAGCCAAGGAAATATATGTAGAAGTTAAGGACTAAACGGAAAGGTCTGAAACTGTAACCCAAGGGCGTCGAGTCGATGTTCAAACTCCTTCACCGTTGGTGCTAATACTACTTCGCTGGGTAGTGCGTTCCATGAGTCGATGACCCTGCGTGACAACCGAACGTCAGTTCTAACGTGATCAGACCTAGGCTTATGCAACTTCAGAGGGTGACCACGAAGAGATGGCATCTGAGCCGGCTGGAACAGTCCAGTTAGATCAGGTCCAATCTTGTTGGTCAATATACGGAACGTAAGAATCAGGTCTCCCCGAAGGCGCCTATAGTGCAGCGAAAACATCTGCAACCTGAGCAGCCTATCGGGATACGAGAGATGCCTCAATCCTTGTACCATTTTCGTACCAACCCTCAGAACTCGTTCAAGTGTCATCGCGTACCAAGCATGGAAGACAGGCCTGCACGCAGTACTCCAAGTATGGCCTGACGAAGGCTGAGAACAATATAACGAACATTTCATTCGTTATAATGCCGAATGACCTGCGGATCATCCACAGCATTCGGAAACCCTTGCAGGTAGCATTTGTCCAGTTCTCGCTGGATTTGAAGTCAGAGGATAACGAGATACCCAAGTCCGTTTGTTCAGTCACTTGACGCAATACATTTCCGCCAAGTACGTAAGAAGTTGTGGAAGTGCTTAATCCTATGCGCAGGACCGAACACTTTGCAAGATTGACTGGCAGCTGCCACAATTCTGACCACTCCCAAAGCTTGTCCAGAGCTGTCTGTAAAGCCGTGGGCCCAACAGAACCGCTCACTGTATTCCAAAATTTTAAGTCATCCGCAAACATAAGGGATGGTACCTTAAGCTTCTCAGGGAGATCATTGACATACAATGCAAACAGTAGATGTCCGAGAACCGACCCCTGAGGAACACCACTCAGAACGGCTTGTCTGAAAGACAGCCCGGAACCCACTCGGACGCTCATCTGCCTTCCTTCCAGGAAAGCCGAAATCCACTTCGATACTTGGCCTGAAACGCCGTAGGATTCTAGTTTAAACAAAAGACGGCAATGAGGTACGGTGTCAAAGGCTTTAGAAAAGTCGATGAACAACACATCCACTGCCTGTCCTTGATCCACAGCCTCAGTCCAGCACTCTCGGGCTACCAACATGTTAGTCAAACAGGAGTGGCCTCTGCGGAAACTATGTTGAGACGGGTTGAGCAAACTGAACTTAGCTAAGTGCTTTTCCAGTACATCTCTTCTCTAATACTTTCACCAGTACGCTTGTTAGGCTAACCGGTCTATAATTTTCAGGTAAGTGCTTATCACCCTTTTTGAAAATAGGGCACACGATAGCATCTCTCCAGTCAGCAGGTAGGGAGCAGCTACGAAGAGACTTCTCAAAGATACACTTAATCGGTTTACACAGCAACCCAGCCAGCTCGTACAAAAGTTTGGGATGGAGGGCATCTATCCCGGCAGCTTTTGTGGGATTTAGGTCACGCAGCAGCTTGAGTACCTGAGCTTCCTAGATGGAAAGGTCCATCAGAAAGGAGTCTAAGGGTATCTTTGCTTGCAATTGGATATTAGGCAATGGAGATTCATGAACAAACGACCTAGCATACTGTTTTGCAAGTAAGCAGGCCTTGGTCTGATCGGTTGATACTTCAGTGCCGTCAGGTCCAAAGAGCACAGGGATAGGCGAATTTGCATTGCATCTCCGTTTGACATAGCCAAAGAACCGTTTCGGTTGTCAAGACCAGTGACAGCAGCAGAGCCGTCTGGACCGGACAACAGTGGAATGGACGGGCTCATGTTGCCTCGTCTTTTCATATAAGCAAAGAAGCGTCTTGGGTTTGTTGAGGATGTACGTTGGACTTTTACGTTCCCGTCACCCGCGCACTTCACGGAGCCAGAATCAATGTCGCAGTCTAATGGTAACGCGATTTTCTCAAGGTCAGGTTCATTGGATGATAGAGGGCAGAAGGGGAAGGGCTAATTTCTGTATTGGCGGGAAAGAGTTTCGCTTCCATTGTCCTCGGGGACATCCAAGATAGTTTGAGTGGCTGCATAGTATATTCTTAATGTTGGTGGTATTAAGGTGTGGAAAATAGAAGATAATGCTATATGGATTTGCTTCGTGAAAAAGGTTATGATAAATTAAAGTGATGACTACAGGTGTAGTTGTAGTTCACGGTATAATCGAAAGCAGGCAAATGGTAAATACAAGTGAAGTGTAAAAGGCTGTTTTATGGAACAAATAAGTGTTAATACTTTTGTTTCATGTATGTAAAGGTTATGCTTGCATGACGCTACTGGTAAAAGTAACTTACTTGCCTGTCTGATTATTGTATTTTTTGTATATTTTGTAATCGCGAGGAAGGGAAGCCAAATTTACAACTAATAAACCTTACCAACTACCATTTTTTTGTACCTACTTACGCACAAAGCGACCTAAACACACCACTTTCAAAGCCAGTTACGAAAGCCTGGTGTACCGAAACACAAAGTCCCTCCAGGCCAATATTTCATGTCAAAAATTAGCCACTCCCGAGCAGAAGGAAGATCCATTGTCAGCTCCTTCACTTCCTGATCATTGCGGAGATGGCGTGGGTCATTGCGACAGAAGATTCCGCAGAGTACCACTGTAGCTGTCTTAGAGGCAGCAGAATCCCAGCGCGCTCAGCTGAGAATCCAACAGTTGTTTGAAACGTTCCTCTGTCTCCCCATTAACAATAGGATCCGACAACCGGTTCCAATCATTCACCACACGAGTTGGTAATGCCAAATTGAGCCGCACACGGAGATTCCTCGGTTTGAACAATTTCATGCGGTGGCCTCGTGTTGAACTCTCAGGGTTGTGTTAAAAGAAGTCCTGTAACTCGCAACCCAGTTCTCCTCTGAGAATACGCCGTTAATATCAAATCTCTTCGGTGACGGCGGTAACCTAGAGAGAACAAGTTCAGTCGTTGAAGTCTGTGTATACGACAGGTCTCGCAACTCAGGGACGGATTTGGATCCACGCCGTCGAACCTTCTCTATCATGTCACATTCGGATTTGATGAAAAGGTAAGCAGCGGGTAGCCCGTATTCGAGAATCGGGCGTACATGCGAGCCAAAGAGGAGTCGGAAAAGTCCCGGCGTCAGGAGAGAAAACCCTCTACGTATAGAATGAAACATCCTGTAGTCCGCGGCGACTCACTTCTGGGTGTCTTGAATAGATTTGAAGTCTGATGACACTATCACTCCAAGATCCCTCTTTTGAGTTGCGCTTCTGAGCAAGAAACCACCAATGTGGTAAGTTCCAAATGGGATAGATGAGCCAACGGGGAGAACAGAGTATTTATCACGATTTACGGGCAACTGCCGCTTAATCGATCAGTCGTGGAGTAGATCGTGCGTAGTTTGTAATCTGTCCGCGTCTTCAAGGCTGGATACTTCCATCCATAGCTTTAGGTCGTCAGCGTAGATTAGGCAATCCGTCTGAAATGTGGATGGTAAATCGTTGATGAAGATATTGAAAAGTACGGGACCGAGGACAGAGCCCTATGGGACCCCACTCATCATTAGAATATAAGCAGAAAATGTCATTCACCTTCACTTGCATAGAGCGGTTGTTTAGGAAGTCGGAGGTCCAAGACAGGAGGTTCCCAGAAATACCAATTCCTTGGAGCTTAAACAGAAGCCGTTCATTGGGGACTTTGTCAAAAGCTTTGCTGAAGTCAACAAACACAACGTCTTAGCGTTTGCCGGAGTCTAGTGACCTTGCCCAGGTCGCCTTAGCAACGAACAAGTTCGAGGTACAGAAGCGTGCTTTTCGGAACCCATGCTGGGCATAAGAAATGACATTCTGTCCCCCAAGATGAAGAGTAACAGCTTGTTTTAGGATCCGTTCCATAACTTTACACACTATTGACGTCAAACAGACTGGACGGTAATTGGTCGGATCATGTCGACTTCCTCCTTTGTAAATGGGTTTGACGGTACCCACTTTCCAAGCTGCAGGAAAACGGTCAGCTTCTAGTGAGCGACGAAAGACTTGACATATGGGTGAAGCTATGTACTCCGCCGCAGTCCTGAGGAACAAAGGATGCAATCCATCAGGGCCGGGTGAGCTATACGGATCTTACTGAAGAAAAAGTTTCATCACAGAATCAGTGTTAATATCTACTTGAGCCAACGAAGATGGAAAGGTGGATACGGCTCTGTCACTAAATGGTGTTTCTTTCGCGTAAACAGAAGCGTATTGCTTAGCCAAGTGACTGGCTTTTTCAGCGTCCTCGTGAAGTAAAACTTGATCACAGGAACACAAAGTACGGATGCTATTACCAGCTCTAGTGCTTCTTTTCAAATTAGAGTAGGGCATTTTAGGCGCAATTCCGGAGTGTTTTGTCAAGGATAGTTCGTATTGTTGGCGTTTCTGGCGCTTTATCTTGGCACAAACATTTCTGACAGTCTTGTATTGGGAGAAGTCGAGTTCGGAATGAGATTGCCTGAAGCGGTTCCATAATTTGCGCCTTCTATTCACTTGACCTCAACTCTCAATCCATCCAAGGTGGCCCTCGATGTATGTCTGTCCCCGAGCGTCTGCTTAGTTTGGGAATGCATTCAATGAACTACAGAAGGCTTAGAGGAGACCTAATCCTAACCTACCGTGTGTTAACTGAGAAGGTTGGTCCAGATTTATCTAGGCTATTCAGTCCCGTCTAATTAGGCTGCGCGCATTACATAGCACTATCCGAAGGTATTCGATAGATCCAGCTCTGGTTCGTGCGCTAGCAGAATTGGCAGTGATAGGGCGGGAAAGTACGGCCGGCTGACCACCCGAAAAGCCACTAAGCGGAGACCTGTTCACCGGCCGCTAGCCTGCTTTTGATGTCCTTGATGGCCTCCCTTAGCTTCAGCCTCTCAGCCAGCGGATAGTCCGGCTGAACACTAATAGTTGTACCTTTCAGCTTAAAAGCAAAGTGCAAAAGAGCATTGCGTTCCTCCGAGGTCGAGAGTACCACACGAAGTAGCGGCGTTCGAGGGTTTAATACATTAACTTGGATGTTCCCCAGTCTAATCAGGTTCCTGATAGTAACATCTGGAAAACCAGGCAGAAGAAGCTGCATTACGCACATATTAAACCATTGAAGATCGTCCAACATACGTTCAGCAGCAAGGATAGTAGTGGATTTAATCCCATTACGTAAAATAACGCTACTATCCGTGAAAGAATCGACACGACAGTGTGTATTAACCAAGCGGGTCTTTGCTTCGACCCTTGGGGCAGGTGGCTTTACCGTTGGTGATGGGAGTCTATTTATCCCCTCCGATGATGTAACAACGGCAGCGTGTTTTCCGCTCCATTGTCGATGTTTTACATTTCTCGGGTCATCTATTCCACCGAAAGGCTTTATGCCAGATTTAGTCGAGGCGATGAACAACGGCCACGTAGTGGATGTGCTTTTCGTAGACTTCACGAAAGCATACCATAAGGCACCCCACTTGAGGCTATCACAAAAGCTGAGCCCCTACGGTGTATCTGGCCGCGCCCTTCACTGGGTAGCTGCGTTCTTGCAGAGAAGAGAGCAGTGTGTATGTGTGGGTCGCAGTCTATCGTTTAGGCAAGCGGTCCTTAGCGGTGTCCCACAGGGCTCTGTCCTTGGACCGATGCTGTTCTCCATCTGCGTAAACGATCTTCCTGGAGAGCTTGGGGTATCATCCCTATTGTTTGCAGATGACCTTAAGCTATGGAATGTATTAGATGTTCCTGGGGTTCTGAGACCATACAGCATGCCCTGGACAGACTCTGGGACTGGTCTACGTTTTGGCTACTGCCCATAAATCAGGCTAAGTGTTCCGTCCTTCGTATAGGAGCAACTTCCCGCCTTCGAGCCACGTACTCAGTGGGGTCGAACTCCCCTTTGTCTCCAACTAGGTAGACCTAGGCGTCGTCCATTCCTCGTCTTTGCATTCTGGTGACAACTTTAAGAAAGCCGCAAGTAGGGGTTTCAGTATGTTGCGGTTAATACACCGTTCTTTCGGGGGGCTTAACTACCGATCTATTTGTGATGCTGTTCTCAGCTATCGTTCGTTCTCATCTGGAATACTGCGTCCAGGCTTGCCCGCCCTGCCTTGTTCGGGACAAAATGGCGTTCGAAGGGGTTTTGAGAGTAGGTACCAAA